CTCACAGAATACATTGGCATATTAATGGTGCTATTCATTCATATACGCGACCTCATTAGCATAACAAAGGATCACTGAAAGTATTGCTAATCAATATATTTGTAAAGATAACACTCTATCCATGTACAATGTTTTGTGTTGGTGCCTGCTATTTCCTGCAATGTAATTATTCTGCCAATTGAGAGTTAATGGCTATTTTTCTATTTCTTCTGTTTATGTATTTCAGTTTCACTCATAATTTTCACCTGTCTTGAGAAAACCATCAATAAAGGAACAAGGCGCTCAGTTCCTGGCTCGTGAAAATTGAGTTAGGCTCTGCTGTTTACCTACGTTCACACACTGGGCGTGTAAAACGTGTAGTGGGAACAGTATAGGGATTTTTAGTCAATTTCTTTGTTTTTTTCTATACATTTCCTTATTTTTGCATTATGAATTCAATCAAATACTGGTACACAAATTCCCTGGTTTGCGTTAAATATGCTATTTAAATTCATGTCTGTCATAGAAGTTATTCTACATATGTTTAATACACAATTTTTTCCAGAAAGGTGATTAAATGACATTATCAGTGTTCAGTACCTGCATACATTGCTGTCACCACTGTATATAAGGATATAAGTGTGTGTTTTTCCTTACATGCTTGTCGTAGTTTGTCTTTGTCATAGTGGAATTCCTCATAGTCAGCCAAACTGATCCTGCTGACTCGGATCCTCAGCCTCTCTGGCACTGGCTGCTGACTAATACACAAATGGGAACAGACCAGTTATAACAAATGAGATATTATAAGTTACACATGTCCAGTTAGATGTGTGTATGTGTGTAACTTACTCATTGAGGTGTGGCAGTGAGGTTTGTCGTTTGGTTTTCTGAACCATGTTGGCCTGGTTTCTGAGGCTGATGTGGATGACAGAGGGAGCAAGTCTGCAGGGTTCACCATCCACCTAACAATAATGCCAATTAATTAATGAGTAAAGTCATAACCTTAGCCAGTTGCATACTGCTTATAGGTTAATACTTAAACAGCTTTAGAAAAAGGATGCAGCTGCTCACTATGTACAATCTGTGTGATGGTATAACTATGAAGCAGCTGACAGTATCAAAGTCAAACATGAGTGGTGCTCAGTGAAGCAGTATAGTAACAGCTGTATGTGCAGTATGTACCTGTACTGGGAGAGGTTTTGTGGTGGTGAGGGTGACTTCTCTACACTGGTTCAACCTCTCGCCATGACCTCCAACCTGGAGGGTAGCCTACACACACATACATATGCAATTATTCATTACTCTAGCTATCACTTTATGATCTACGAACTTATGTTGGTGGTTTGAAATTCTTGGCTCCAGTTCAACTTGTACACAGTGTGAGCTCTGTACCAGTGAAGTCATCGTGAATCCAATGACCTCGATGTAACCGTCATCATGGCGTTGAGGTTCAAAGATGTGATGGTCACCGGGGTTTCCCCAAGGAGTTGTGCCTGCACAGTACCTGAGGTGAACAATATACACACACTGAGATTATGAGAAGCAGCAGTAGTAAAATCGTCATCAAAATCTGAGCCAATTAAAGCTCCTTGTGAGTGATTTCAGAATGGAATCCCTCCATCAGACTCCAAAGCATCAACACTACTATGTTCATTAATTTACCAGTGACAATAAAAAAAAAAATATATAAAAGTTTTTTTTTTCACTAATTGGTGGCTTCTTTTTTCTGTGTCATTGACAAAGTCTGCATATAAATGTCTTGGCTTTCGGTTAAATGACAAGCTGAGTTTTAATTTGTATATTGAGAAATTAACTGTAAGCCTAGACTTTCATTTCTGTATAGAAAGACTTTGTTTTATTGATTGTCACAGGAGGCAGCTGGTACAAGCAACATTTCTATCTGTAATAGACTATGGTGATATAATTTATATGCATGCCTCCACCAAAACCCGGAAACCACTTGACTCAGTGTCTCATGCTTAGACTGGACATCCCTTCTGGTCTCACTGTGCTGTCATTCTACTTCTGGTCACTACTGCACAGAATCTGGTAGCAAAAAAAGCAAGATAGTAGGCACCATACTCGTGACATTTTGGCTTAATTTTTGCATAGTGGGGGAAAGTGGTGATGCCATGTTCATTGTATATATTGTATGTCAATGGATATAACTTTGTCGGGGAGTAATTCTTGTGAATGGTAACAATAGAGAAAGCCAACGTAGCTAACATGTGCTGTACTGAATTAGCAAAGTTACTTTAGCCAAGGAAGGTAGTTAGCTGATGTTACATAAATAATATGTTATTACCACAACTACTTTTATGGTATATATGGCATCCTGATTTTACTTGACTTTTAGAAATAATTCACAACACACTCAAAACACAAATTCAATAAACTAAAAATTACAGTTAATATATGTTCAAACTCTTCACATTTATATATTAACATTTTAAACAAGTTTAAATTACAAAACTAGGTTCAGGACTAAGGTGGTTTTTGGGTAACTGTATCAAATCAGGTATTCTGACATATACATGCAAAATAAAGTTGTCTTGTCAGCACATGCGCCATTAAAGTCCACTGATGATTTTGAAAGAAATACTAACTGAAAGAAGTCAAAATTCAACACATGAACACTGAACATTAAACAGCACTTCAGACAACAGTACATTAGCAGTAGTGGTGG